CATAGGTTAGATATAAATCCTACACCATTTTATATAAGGGACTGGAGCATCTGCAGATATTGATATTTGAGAGGTTTCCTGAAATTAGTCTCCCACTTGATAGCAAAGGACAACGATATTCACATTAGCAGTTGCCTAGTACTATGACCCAAATGTATTATACTATCTCAAGATTTTCATATAGTATTAAAATAAATTGCTAGGACTCCTTCCTTTAGGAGCAATGCAACTCACTTTCGGAGTCTAAAACTTAAAAACAGTATCTCTTGACTAAACTCTCTTTTGTCACTGTGAATTTCCTGCTTTGAAATGGCATGGGATGTCTGGCTGATCAGATTTCTATTTGATTGATTAACTCTTCCTGCTAACAGGAGAACAAACCTTATTTTCCTGAGATATGAACCAAAGGAGATTTATTCAGGATATTCTTTTTAACAGCCATTTAATTCATTCAAGTCTTATTTAAATTATGTAGATCCAGAGTACTTCAGAAGCAGAGAGAAAGGAGAGTGCTTCAGACGTGAGAGTCAGTTTGAAAACAGAAAAACGGTGTTCGTGGTATTCTATGCTAAATTCTCTGGGTAACTGCAGGACTTTTTTGTTTTTTTCGTTTGTGTTTTTTATTTAAAGAAACCTGAGTTTCCAGTGTAAGATTTTTAAATTCTTTCTCTAATTGATGAATAATTCCTTCTTAAAAAAACTTACTATATATATAATTTTTATATATATTTTATATATTATGTAAATTTATATATTTATTTGAGCTACTTTTAAAAAAATGTATTTATTTTAATTACAAAGAACAAAAATACCCAGAAAATACTACTTTAAAAAGGAAGCTTTTTTCTGATTTTACCTCCTTTTTCTTCAGAATATTTTTGGAAGAAATTTATGAATTCTGAAATACTTTTTATTTCAGATTAATATGAGAATACAAATGAATTCTGAAATGTTGTGATTAAATTATGGACAAAATGGTGAATGGGATTACTGTTAAGACGTCTACAATAATATTACATTTATTTCTTCTATCTCTATATTTTTCCAATTATGAAAAACAAATACATTTAATCTAATAGACTGAAAAAGGGTAAAAAAATTAATAAAGCCTACTGTTGTCAAAATGAGCCACTTCTTTGAGTGAAAATGTAATGTCTTGTTCAAAGTTATTTATAAATATCTGTTAAAATGAAAAATGTTCATACTCTCCAGCAAGCATTTTTACTTTTAGAAGACTATCCCATGACTGGAAGGGACTGGTGGGTAAAGATATACATAGAAGGATGTGTGTTCACATTGTTTATAAGGATACTTTTTCATGTAAATCATGTAAAGAAAAATTCTTAATATGAATATGTGCCTAGTATGCAGTGTTCATGGAATATGCACCAAACCATTAATAGCATTTGTTTTTGAATCAGTACGATTATAAAAGAAGTTTACTTCCTAATTTATATGACTTTATCATGTTAAGCCTTGTGTAACTTTTGCATTTTATTTTTATAATTAAAAAGGTAATAAACTACAAAAGATGAGGGGTATACATGCTTTAAAATTTAGAAAGTATGGAGAAGAATATTTTTAAATTCCCATAAAACTTCTCACAGGTTTATCATTAATCTCTTTGGTATGTTTCTTCTTTTTTGAAATATATAATATGCCCTTTACATAATTAAAGAAAAAGGAGTCCTCTAAATTATATACCATCTATAATGTAATATCCTTTTTTTTTGTCCCCAGTTAGCATTCTATGATCTGGGTTAATCAGAAAAAATATACAATGACTATAACTCGAATAGCTGTCCAGTGTTTTTTCATATAGCTGTGCTAAAATTTAATTGTTTCTTTGGCTTTTCTCAGTTATGGAAGATTATAAACAATCCTTCAGTTAACATCTTATTATATAAATTTTAGCCATAGTTCACAATGCCTTAGAATAAATTTTAGAAATAAAATCATTGGCATAAAGTGATTAAATGTTTTCAAAGCTCTTGATAGATATTTCTGATTGTCCTAGTTTCTATATCGACTAGTTTCTATATGTCTTAGTTAATCCACATTAACTAGTTTCTATATGTCTTTGATAATCCATATTAACATTTTTTAAATGGTAGGAAGTAGTATATAAAAAGTTGCTTTATTTTTATATTCATTTGATTTATTTGATTACTAATGATACTGAACTTTAAAATCTTAATTTATGACTGAAATAAGTGATTCACAAAAAATATATGGAGGTCCAGTTAATAATAAAAAGATATTAAACATCACTGGCAATTAATGAACTACAAAGAAAGATAATATTTTCTTAGTACAGCAAAAAATAAAGAGAATTATAATAGCCATTTCTGACAAGAGAATGGGAAAAAAACTGATAGTCATATAAATTGCTGCAACATTGTTCGAGGACAGCTTGGCATTATTTATCTAAAACTTTAAATTATTAATACATACATAGTTACAGAAATTTTATGCCAAAGACTCTTTAAACTCTTAAAATATCAAGAAATTCGATAATATATGTACATAGGAGGATGTTTATCTCAAAGTTTTTTATAATAGTGAAAACTGCAAGTAATCAAACATTCCAACAACAGACATTTGACACAAGATTTAATGATACATTCATGCAGTGGACTACTTTATAATCAGTAAAAGAAAAGTGCAAAGGAATCAGTGATTTTTGAAGTGCTAATATGACCCATTAGTGAGTCTGTAAATCAGGTCACTGGCTATCAGGTTTTTAGAAATCAAATAGAAAAGCTAATTTTTAAGTATCATTTCAGAAAGATTTTTATTATTTATTTATTTATTTATTTTTTGAGAAAAAGTTTCAAGCTGTTGCCCTGGGTAGAGTGCTCTGGTGTCATAGCTCACAGCAACCTCCAACTTTTGGGCTCAAGTGATCCTCTCACTACAGTTTTTCTATTTTTTAGTAGAGATGGGGGTCTCACTTTTGCTCAGGCTGGTCTCAAACTCCTGAGCTTAAGCACTCGACCCACTTCAACCTCCCAGAGTGCTAGGCTTATAGGTGTGAGCCACTGCACCCGGCAAAGATTTTTATTTTAAAATACAGTAGAACCTCCATAGATGATCACCTCCCTACATTCACACCTTCTTAAGATGACCTGATTTTCATAGACCGGACATGTACCACATGTACATATCAGTACAATAGGCCTAGTTCCTCATGTTGACCACCTCCGTATGTTGACCAGTTTGTTACAGTCTCTTGGGTGGTCAACTAACAGAAATTCTACTGTATATTTATATGTACTTAGGTATTTAGTATACCTAAATATAAAATGTATTTCTCACTATGCTCACTATGATTTATAGTAAAAAATATAAAATGTAAATGAAAAAGATATTTAACATGAAATATAACAAATGGTTAAATATTAATCAATTATATAAACTAATTAAAAATCAAAACCTCTGATAAATGGACATAGGATATGAAGAAATAACATAGGTTTGGAATTCCATACAAATAGATAATAAACATAGAAAAATGTATAAGTGTTGCTTCAATTTTACATTTTCTTTATGTTATACAGAGAAGGACAAGCTATTATTTTTGTCATTGATAGTAGTGATAGATTAAGGATGGTTGTGGCCAAAGAAGAACTTGATACTCTTCTGAATCATCCAGGTATGTGTATGTGTCTTTCAGTCGATAATGTCTGGGCTTTGGGATCCTTTTATGTGTGATATTTTGTTCCTTGACATAAGCAAAGAGTGTTTCTTATCCTTTATAATCATCTTTTATTTAAAATTTGTGAATTTTAAAACATTAGTTGTAGAATTTATCTTTACCTATATCATATTTTGTAAATTGTAAAGTTTTTTGCAGTGTTCTTGGCATCTCTAGCCTTTATTTTATCAAAAATAAATATGCCCTTTTTCCTGATTATAGAAAAAATATGTGACAATAGCAAAAATAAAAATCAGAAAAAGAATAAGGAAGAAAATTAAGATCTGTGTATTTCAACAACCACTAAAATTATTTTGGTTACTGTCTTTTCAAGTGTTTTACTGTGTGTACACTGTGTGTGTGTGTCTGTCTTCCAAGATGCAAGTCTTTGGGGTTTTTTTTATGTACCATACTATACCATACACATGTACATACACACACACAAACCCCACCCAAAATTTTCTACAGGTTTGAGGGCTATGGGGGCTGTCACTGTTATTTACCAAAATTGGATCATATTCCTTACAGTCTTTTGGATTTTCCTGTTCTCAGTTATCAGTTCAAGATGGAAATAGTTCTAAGACAAATTGCATAACACTATATAATTGTTCTTTTTAATGATGCCTAATACAGTGTGCTATGAGCATATCAGTTTATTCCATCATTCCCCTTCTCATAGATATTCTTCCTCCACCCCACCCTCCACTACAAACAGTGCTCCAAGGAAGTATTATAGAACTCTGCACTTCTAGCCTTACTCAAGTAATGTTTGTGCTGGGACTTAAAAAAAAAAGATGATTTAAAATTACTGTGGATTTGTTAGAAATGGAATGAAAATAGTGTGGGACTTTGTAGCATTTCTTACTGCATAACTATAACATCTTCCATATTTTTATTGGACAACATCAAGCTATTCAAATTTTTGGAAAGAAATCACCCAGCCTGTACTTTTTATGTGACTTATTCACTTTAAAACTTAATCATTTTTGTATTTTGATTGATGCTGCATTTTTGATAATTCATTCCCTTTGTGTTAATCTTTCCACTTTTCCCAAAAAAGTGTTGGAATGTCGACCAATAAAATGAAATAGTTCATACAGAATCTTCTTCAAATACAAGGAGAACATTGGCTTTTCCAATTAATGCCTTGTCCATGTATCT